AGCTCAGGGCGGATGTCTTCTCCCCGTTGTTGGAGAATCTTTTCTAATTTCTACCCTTCATTCTTCAGCCCTACTAGGCAGCAAGGGAAATCTGTGTGCTCCAATGTAGGTCAGGGAAGAATGGAGTACAAGCACAGTCTGGGACTCCGTGCCAGGTTAGGTGGGGTTAGCTGGAAGGGATTCCCATGAAACTATGAATCCAACTAGGAACAGACTGCACCATGAAAATAATTTGCTCAATACAACTTAGTCACAGAAGTAGAAAGCAGAGGAAGTAGTGGTATTTACTTCATGCTTTTTATGACTCAAGGAATTATTACTGTTTTCTTTTTTAGATGAGGCCTTGTATTATCTGACCTGCATCTCGGAATCTCACCATCCTAGCCTCCTGAGCATTGGGATTTCAGGTGAGTGCCACTGGGGTCCGCACCAATATTTATGATAATTTCCAGGAATGTCATGAAATAACTCAAGCCTGGAGTGGCTGGCTATACCTGTAATCTCTATACTCTGGAGCCAGAGACAGAGTGACCATGAGCTCACAGCCAGGACGGCCTATATGTGGCTCCTGGCCAATCTGAACTATGGAGTGGGATGTTTCAATGCTATCCCCTCCTCAAAAAAAAAAAAAAAACAAAAAAAAAACAAACCCAAAATGGGAGATGTGCAGCCTTCCTTTCCATGGACAGTTGGAAAAATTGTTAACAATGAGTTAATTATGTAAATGCAAGTGAGAAAAATTTTATAAAGTGAATTATTGTTCTTCAACACAAAGTTTCAAAGTTGTGTGATATTAAACTCATTTTTGGTAGAGAGTAAAATTATGCTTCTGCTGCGGAATATTCCTTTACACTGTGTGGAGATGTGTCACCGTGACTGGTGGGATAAAGAGCCGGATGGCCAATAGCTAGGCAGGAAGAGGTTGGGGGGAGACTTCTGGGGACAGGGAGGACTCGGAGAGGAAGAGCGCAGCGTCACCAGCTAGATGCAGAGAAAGCAGTGTGGGGAATATGGAGAGATGGGGTAACGAGCCACGTGACAGAATGTAGATTAAAATAAATGAGGTAATTTACGTTATAAGAGCTAGCGGGACAAGCCTAAGCTATGGTGGAGTTTTCATAATTAATACCAAGGCTCTGTGTTGTTACCTGGGAGCTGGCAGGGCAGAGAAAGATTTGCTATATACTTCAAAGCTTTCTTGTTAGGAGATTGAGTCCCTCATCTTTTTTTTTTTTTTAAGATTTATTTATTCATTGTACACTGGTGTTTTGTCTGTATATACTCTGTGTATATAGCGGTGTCGGATCCCCTAGAACTAGAATTACAGACAGTTGTGAGCTGCCATGTGGGTGCTGGGAATTGAACCCAGGTCCTCTGGAAGAACAGCCAATGCTCATAAACCGCTGAGCCATCTCTCCGGCCCCGAGTCCCTCATCTTTGTTTTCTTCCTATGGGTTCCAAGTATTTCCAGATGTGTCCATTTCAATGTCGTCTCACCCAATCACTAAGAATAAGAACGGCTGGGGTCCTGAAGCCCCCAAGTGAGAGCCGAATGACGCTCTCCTGCCTGATGTGTGGGCCACACACAGCATCCACCAAAACATCTCACATAAGCAGAGATTTCATTATACAGCAAAGCAAAAAGGTGGCAAGTTTGCGTTGTGGACAGATGGTCTCAAATTTTCAGCACGAAACTCCTCGCCATAATCAAACTCTTACCTTGGGTTCTGTCTCCTTGCCACACCTACCTCTTTCACTTCACAAGATATTGCGGTGCAATTAATTTTGGAGTCAAATATTAATCTGTCCTATCAAACCCAAATATTCCCAGGACCGTTGGTCTATCTGAATGAGGTGGTTTGGCTCATAGGGAACTCAGCTAAGCAGCACGTCAAGTCTTGCTGGGAGCATGCACTCACTCAGCCGCTTGTACTAGTGGTCCCATGCTTTTAAAGCCCATGTACACAGACAGGAAGTCACTGCTTGGAAAAGCCCCTTCTCTTTTTGCAATTATGCTGACTCTCAGATGGCCAGGACTTACCAGAGCTGAGACCACAGAGTAGAATCCAGCGCTTCTAGGACTGAAGCTGGATTTTTGCTTCAGAGCGTAGGCGTTGAACTCAGAACCTGCGCTGTGCTCTATATATACAGTGGCTTGGGCTGGAGAGATGGCTCAGCCATTAAAGGCTAGGCTCACAACCAAAAATATATATACAGTGGCTGTCCGGTCTCAGCCTCACTGTGTAGGCTGTTGCCCAGAGTTGTGGATTTAAAGGCATTGGCTGGCTGAGTCTTTTATTTCCTCATATACCTTTATTCCCTGCCAAAAGGGTCAAGGTGTGCAGAGGCAGCTGGCTTACGTGGCCTCAGGTGGAGATGAGGGTGGAAGAGTGGAGGGGATAAAAAAATAGGCCCTGGCCAAACGGGAGCAATATGATGTTGCCTACATCACATGCGGTCTTAACATGACATAACCCCAAATCCTGTCCCTGTCTTTCTCCATGAGAAAATGCTGAGTGGGGCTGAAGAGAATGCTCAGTGATCGAGAGCACTGGCTGCTGTTCTTCCAGAGGTCCCGGGTTCAGTTCCCAAGGTCCACATGGTGGCTCACAACCATTTGTAACTCCAGTTCCAGAGGATTCTACACCCTCTTCTGGCCTCTGAGGGCAGTAGATACTCAAGGGGTGCACAGACGTACAGGTAGGCAAAATGCCCATACACATAAAAGAAAGTAATCTTTAAAAAGTTAATAATACATTTGTCAATTCCGGCCTCCTCATTGGCCAAAGACTATCTGATGTTACCTCAGTACCCATTTCCCTGGCTCAGCTCCATCTTCTGTCCTCCACGCCACCACCTCTCTTCTCTTCTTCCCTCTTTTTCCCTCCTCCTTGCCTTCTGCCATTCTCCTGTGGGTATGGGAGCATTTGAGATTTCATTCTGGAAAGCAGTATCTAGTTCAGCAACACAAGCCCCAGGACAGCCTGGCACATGGTGACTAGCTGGACAATGGGGACATTCCACAGGAGAGAACCGGAAAGTCATGGTGGCAATGCCCGCTGACAACTCCACCCTGCCTACCCAGTCTCCTAGGAAGGTGAGAGGGAGGGTATGGCAACAACCAACGGCTCAGTTGTGGCCCTGGCCCTCATCTGTAGAGGAAAGCCCATAGCTCAAGGAAAAATAATGGCACTGGCCTTCCCACCAACTCTGAATGCTATCCTAACCCTCCAGCACCACACACACACACACACACACACACACACACACACACACGCGCGCGCGCGCGCGCGCGCGTTCTCTCAGACCTATGTGTATGCACAGCCCATACTTAGTTAATGGGCAGGCTCCGTAGGGTAAAGGCTCTGCCAGGAATCAATGGGCATTGGTTCCCCCTGAGCCCACCACCTATGCCTATGCCCTCAGAACATACTGGGCCTTTGTTTGTTTCTTTTTCGAGACGGGGGTTTCTCCGTGCAGCTCTGGCTGTCCTAGAACTCGTCTGCAGGGCAGGCTGGTCTCAGAGATCTCAGGATCTCAAGAGATCTGCCTACCTCTGCCTACTGAGGGCTGGGATTACAGGCGTGCGCCACCCCTCAGCCCCGGCTCATACTGTAAATTTTGAGAGATTCTTGATGCCCTCTGTAGAATTTTGAGTTGTTTTGTGTAAGGCGTAGACAGGCGATGGAATAAGAACAGAGAGCTGATATCGAATGATCTCTCTGAGGTGGCGGCTACTCCATACTTCCGTTTTAAAGTGTCAAGTGGAATAATCCAACAGCTTGGTTACAGTCACAACAGCCTGTTTATGGTAGAAGGAGGCGTTCAGGGCAGAAATGTGAGGCTGATGCCTAAGTTCCGGAAGCCTAACCCTATTACCCAAGGCCTCTTGCCGGCTGGCGGTGCGTTTCCCTCTTACCGACAGGGAGCAGCCCCTGCAGCTCTCCCTAGCCTCCACCTAGGCCGACAACTTCCCGGAGCAAACTGCTCGGCGGCGTCTTCTGATTGGAGCGGGCGCGGGCCGAGCCGCAGCGCGGCTGTTCATTGGCTGCGCGGGGTCAGGCGCTGTGGGCCGAGTGAACGCCAGTAACCCCGGGGGCGGTGCTGACCGGGAGTAACCCCGGGAGGGGCGGCTCGCCTCTCCCTTTGTCTCCTCCCGCGTGGGGCTCGGGGCGGGCAGACCTGCCTGGGCAGCGACAGGGCGTGGGAGCGGGGGCGGGGCTTGGTGCGCCTGAGCAAGCGCCTGCTACCGGAAGACTGAAGCGTTGAGTACAGCTGCTTCCTCCTGCCCCAGGCCCCAGCTTTGTAGGGGTTAAGTGTGGGGTTCTGTGTGAGGCCAAGTGGAGGGTTCTAGAAAAGATGGCTGTGGAGATCCCCGAGGGGATGTGGCGAGTGTACCTTAGTGACTTCGGAGGACAGGCTGCCACCTCCAACAGCCTTAAAGAGGAAAAGGCTAGGATCACTTCCCCTAGCCCGTATTTCATGGGGAAGGGGTCCGGGACAGCTTTGATAATGCAGAGTCAAAGTCAGAGGTGCCGCTAAACACTGCTGGTGGGGATGGAGAGTGGTTCGGCCGCTGTGGAAAACAGGTTGGTGACCCAAGGAGGATTGGAGAATTACCGCAAGAGCCCACAGCTCCACTCCTGTTACACACCCAAGCCAGTTAGAAGCAAATGCTCCAGTAATTGTGTAGCGTTCATAGCTTTGTCACCGGGTACACAGGGCCTTAGGCTTGCCACCTCAGTGTTTTCATTGTGATTAATTTTAACTGTCAGCCTGACTGGATTGAGAATCACCAAAGAGATAGACTTCTTGAGTACGTCCGATTGGACTGACTGAGGAAGGGGAGAGTCGCCCTGAATGTGGGTAGCACCTTAACACACGCTGGGGTCTGGACTGAATTAAAAAAGGCAAAAGGAAGTCGCAGGGAGCCTTTCCTGACAGACACAAGGTCACCTCATGTTCCTGCCGGCGGAGCTGGAACACCTCACTGACGCACCTTCCCATGTAAGCCAAAAGGAAAACTCCCTCCCTTAAGTTGCTTTTGCCTGGTATTTTATTAACGGCACGGAAAAGAACCTGTATTTCTAAGGAATTAGGAAATAGACGTTGGGAAAGAAAAGAGACCTGTGTACAGTTTGACCAAAAGTGTGGGGATACGCTACCTTCCCATGTGGCTATGCACCTCACAGTCTGTAGAAAACCAAGAGACAGAAGCTAGACTGAACGCACATTTAGCTGGGAAATTTAACTGGGGAAAGGAGACTGCTCCTTAGGATAAAAGAGGCTGGGAAGGGGGCTCAGTGCATAAGTCCTTGCCAGACAGACTCAAGGTCCTGACTTCAAATCCCAGAACCCAGGTGAAGCCAGATGCGGCAGTGCGTATCTGGAATCACAGAACTCTTCTAGGAAGATGGGGGAGGGAGAGACAGATGGCTGCCCAGGAGCTCCCAGGCCAGCTAGTCCGGAGGCGTTGGCCACACCGAGGATGTCTAGGCACAATGAGGTGCTAATAGGAAAAGTGAAAGGAGTCAAGTGCTGAGTTGCGCTCCGCTGTCAGCAGACGGACAGAACATGCTTGAAGAAGGCCAGACCTATGACTCTATTTCTGTGAAATACTACAGTAAACCAAGAGCAAAAGAGAAATTGTTGCCAGGGGTGGAGGATGGGCACAGGAGGTGAGAGAGGAGGAGAAGAAGGGTCAGAGTTAGGGGGTGTAGTGTCTCTCTGGAGTGAGGAAAATGTTTTGGAACTAGGTGTGTTGGCTCCATAACCGTTTGAGTGTACAAAATACCTCAGAATCGTTCACTTTAATTTTCTCATTTTTACTTTATTTTTTAAAGATTTGTTTATTTAATCTATATGAGTGCTGTATCTGCATGTACAGCCCTATGCAAGATAGGGCTTCAGAACCCACCATAGATGGCAGCGAGCCACCTGTGGGTGCTGGGAATTGAACTCAGGACCTCTGGAAGAGCAGCCAGTGCTCTTAACCACTGAGCCATCTCTCCTGCCTCCTCACTTTTACTTGAGAAGAAAATGAAATGATTTACAGTGAGTGCTGCTTGTACCAGAGTCTTAAGGAGGATGGAGAAAAGACACTTGCCGAGATAAAATTGCTAGGATCGTAGCAGGGCATGTTTCTGAGTATCAACAAAGCACTGACTGTATCCAGACCAGTGGATTGACTGAAAACCCTCGCACACCAGGACTGCCGCAGTGTGGGGATGTGATTCAGCCTGTGTAACTGTCCTCATTAAGGGTGGTAATGTTGTGGAAATCCACATCATTTTAAACGGCTATACCAAGAAAAAAGTGTGTGTCGGGAATGTTTTTTAGGTCATCTAGAATTCTCCAAGAAATAAGAAGAGGCGCTGTGAGCATTCTTGCGCCCTCTGCTGGAATTAGGGAACAACTCACTTTGCTTTCCCTGACCCTAACTATTACTGCTTCCTTTGAGAAATGGCCTAGAATGGAAACTCTTTAGGGATTTCTGAGCAGGTCCTCATGTGGGTCCAGACCTACCTGAAGTCAGCACAGCCCACCTGCTCCTTTACAGCTGTGGAGGGATGCCTGGATTTTTATCAATCCAAGGAGCAACCTGGACTAATAAAGGGACCGGGCTTTGAAACTGTTGCAGAGGGGCATGGAGTCATCCATCAGAAACTCTTCAATCCAAACAACTTTCCCTGGGAAAGCTAACAGTGAGCAGCTGCCTGTCTCGGCCTCTTCATCCCTCTCCGTCTTGAAATGGGAAGAATTTCCTTGCCAAGTTCTAAGGCACAGGACAGAAAGGAAGGATGCTGTGTGGAGGGGCTGGTGTCTGCTTGGATAGACGCTGGGTGCAATCACAGAAAGAACATAACCTCTGCCACGTGACACCGCCCCCATGTAAGGATCACATCCAGCCTGCTGACTCCCCTGGTAGTTTATCACAGTGCAAGCCCTGTGCCAGGGAAAGGGTTTGGGTTTCGTTTTTCTGTCTGTGGTAGTTTTTTTGTTTGTCGGTTTTTGCCTTTTCGCGACGGTAGTTAGCAGACAATGTCCAGGAGGATCTGCTTGGAGTCTATTCTTGAGACACCTCCGTTGACGCTCAAGAGAGATCAAGGCAAGAGTGCCCTCCATGGAGCCCTTTAATTTAAAACATCTGCTGAGTTTTCAAAGGTCTCTTCCTACCTACTGCTAACTACAGCTTCCCTGAAGGCAATAAAGTATGAAGAGGGAGGGAGGACTTAGCCGTGAAAAGGCCCCTGGAGCGGAAGACTAAGAATAAAAGGGTATCTGCTTAGACCATGAAAGAGTTTTTACCTTTTAATATTTGAATATTTTACAATAACAGTGTCTTGAAACAAGGCTCTTTAGAACATTGATGGTATTTTCTACTCTTTGAGCCACACTATTAAACCTCTGGTCAGCTGGTTTTGGGCATGGAAAAAAAAGGTGACCCCAAACTCAGCCACTCTTGTGGCTTCCATCTCCAGTTCTTTTAATCCTGGCCAAAACAGCGGCCGGAGATACTTTCTTCAGGTCGTAAGCCAGGCCCAGGAGAGCCATGCAGTCGATGAAGAATGTCGAGAAGTTGATGTACCAGCGGTACTCACTGGCAGAGTAGTCGTAGGGGAAGGCGTGGTGGTAGTTGTGGAAGCCCTCGCCTGGAAGAGAAGCACAGGGAGCAGTTAGGAAGCCCAGTGACTGCCGCCTCCTCCTCTTCACACACCACTTACCCAGTGGATAAGAGAACATTTGCTGTTCTTTAGTGAGTGGTTAACCCACTGCCTTCTGCTCAGAAGCAATGAGTTCAGAAGCCCTGTTTGTCTTTAATATTTGAAGGTATGTTGGAAGGAGACGTGTCTCGATGCTAATAGGGTAAGAATCTGATTATTCTGGGGAAGTACAAGCAGTGGTGGTGGGGTGCCTGGAACCTGGGTGGGGACAGAGGCAGGGCATTAAAGACATCCGGGAGGTGAGCCGAGGCTCTGAGAAGGGCACACTTCCGCTTGTTTGTCATGCATACAGTGTTCTGCATGCATGCATTCCTGCATGTCAGAAGAGGGCACCAGATCTCATTACAGATGGCTGTGAGACCATGTGATTGCAGGGAATTGAACTCAGGACCTCTGGAAGGGCAGTCAGCTTTTAGCCGCTGAGCCATCTCTCCAGCCCCCAAGAATGGCACACTTTTAAGTCCACTGAAAAAATCATGGCTCTCCTTTTCTTTATATAGCATGGCTAGGCACGACACACTAGGTTTATTGTATTCTCCATTGATCCTGCTATTATAGCTCTGAGCCTCCTGACCCAAGCAGGAGATTCTAGCCCAGCCTAGAGAAGTGAATCAGAGATGACTGGAGAAAGGGAAACTTAGCCAGGATCATTTAGAGGTTGTTTGTTTGTTTGCATTTGGGTTTTTTGAGACAAGGTTTCTCTGTGTAAATAATCCGAGCTGTCCTGGAACTCGCTTTGTAGACCAAGCTGGCCTCAAACTCACTGAGATCTGATGGAGGTGGGTCTTGTATCTTATCTGTTGATTTCATTGGTTAATAATAAAGAAACTGCCTCAGCCCTCATAGGACAGAAAATTAGGTAGGCGGAGTAGACAGAGGAGAATGCTGGGAAAAAGAGGCTGAGTGAGTCACCATGGTTCTCCCGCTCCAGACAGACAGACGCAGGTTAAGATCCTCCCTGGTAAGCCAGCTCGTGGGCTACACAGAATATTAGAAATGGGTTAGAACAATATGTAAGAGCTAGCCAATAAGAAACTGGACCTAGCCGGGCCAGGCAGTGTTTGAAAGAATACAGTTTCCGTGTAATTATTTCTGGGTATAAACTAGCCATGCGGGCGGCTGGGTGCCGGGGACGCAGCCCTGCCGCCGCTCTTACTTCAACAGAGATCTGCCTGCCTCGGCCTCCCAAGTGCTGGGATTAAATGTGTGCACCACCATAACCTGGCTTGTTTGTTTTTTGACCTTCCAATCAAAGATAGTATTTTTAATCCTTCCCTCTATTACATGAAACGTCTTGCCTGACTCTCATGTTCTCCCCAATTTCACAACCCCTAGTTTTACAGTGGGAGACACAAAACACAAGGTACAGAGGCTTTGTGTCTTCCTCCCAGCTCACCAAATAAGGAGACAGAATGGGAAAAAAAAAAAAAGAAAAAGAAAAAGACACGACTGCTCTTTGGTGTGATGGAGAAGGAGGTTCACTGTGGATATGTGGGAGAGTCTAGCCAGAGGCAGGGACACCTGGGAGAGTCCATAGGAAGAACAGCCTGGTCCCCTGAGCTGGAGAGTTCAGGATAAGGGACAGGGTGTGCCAGTCAGGAGGGCCCTGTAACAAGTAGGGACTGAGAGATACAGGGAGAACCCGGCAGCCAGATCTGCTCTGATATGTTAAACAGGGACCTCAGCCATTAGTCCCAGGCTCGAAACCTAAGACCACTGAATGCCATAATGCTATAGATGGCTTACTCACCCAGAGTTCCCATGGAAACCAGGACATTCTCCCGGGGGTCAATGTTCTTGTCATAAGGGCGATAGCCGTAGAGATGAGCGGCACTGTTCACCAGCCAGGTGGCATTGAGGCTCAGAGCGTATCTCAGAAAAGTGGCAACATACAGACTGTGTAGGAAAGTTTCACCCCAGCAATACCAGGGCACCAGTGTGGGCAGGATGAAGCACAGCAGCAGGACGCTGGGTTTGTAGTACCTACGGGGAGAGAGCACATGCAGAGTTGGTGGAGCAAGGATACCTTACCTAGATGGGCTCTTCTCAGTGGGAGGGGCTGTTATCTTTCTCTTACACTGAGTGCAGGTGTGGGCTGGGAGCCCCGCCCAGAAAGAACGGGAGTGGAAAATCCTTTCAGAACAGAATATCTTTATCATTCTCAAGGTAAGTCTACGTTGAGCTGAGACTGTCCCGAGATAATCCCACCAATTGCCCATAGAACAAGGTCCCTAATTCTTCTTCTTCGTAGAGGGATGAGGCAGGTCATTCAACAAATCAGGACCAAACCACAGCCTCAGTCTGCAAGGATGCCAGGGCTGGTTTTCATCTGCCCCTAAGCCCCCTTTCTCTCTTTCGGGGTCTTTGACATTTTTCCGTTTCCTGCTAACCTCCCCCATCGAAGCCTGCACGGTGCAAAAGCTCCAGGAAGCATCACGAGTGTCCTAGATCTCCTGTGGGTTCTGTCCCTCTGGAAGTCTTGTCCCAGTTTCATTTCCACACAGACCGACCTCTGATTTCCCGAGAGAATTGATTGGTGCCCAGCAGTCATGTCTTCATTTTTGGGTCACGGGCTAGGCCTGCATCCAGCTTTCCCATTTCTTCCCTAATCTGGGTCCTCTGTAGGCTAACTCGTGTCCTCTCCTCACCTCTTGGGCTCAGTGTCTTCTTCACCTGACTCACCTGAGCCAACCTTTAAAGCACAGGTACAACAGCACCGCGTGCTTTTGGAAAGACAAGCTGTGTTAATCCCATGTGTGTCTAAGACACTTGGGATGACATAAGTCTGTTTGAAATGAGAATTTGTTTGTTTTTATTTATTTATTTATTTATTTTTTGAAACAGGGTCTCACTATGTCATTCTGGCTGTCCTGGAACTCACTATGTAGACCACACTGGCTTCAGACTCACAGAGATTCACTTGCTTCTGCCTACCAAGTACTAAGACTAAAGACCTCTGTGCTACCCCTTCTGGCCAATGGACTTTTTTCTTTTTTTAAAGATTATTTTTATTTATGTATATGTGCGCATGTCTGTGGGAGTAAATGCCAAGTGAACATGTGTGCCCGTGAAGGCCGGAATTGAGTGTCAGGTTCTCTGGAGCCGGAGTTGCAGGTGTAAGCCGCCCGATATGAATGCTGGCATCTGAGCTAGGGTCCTCTGGAAGAACAGGAAGTGCTCTTAACTGCCAAGCCACCTCTTCAGTTCCCAGAGGATCTTTGTTTTTTGAGACAATCTCATTATGTGACTCTGGCTGACCTGGAATTCACAGAGATCTGTCTGCCTGTGTCTCTCCGGCACTGGGATTACAGGCGTGCACCACCACACTTGGCTTAAATGACAGTTGTGAGCGTATAAACCCAGAAATTCATTCAGCTATTCTAAGTGCTAAGAGAATGTGTCAGTCTTGAAACCCTACTTCCCAAGCTCCATCCCTCTCACTCACCTCCTCTGGAACATGACCAGCTTCTCAGCTTTTAGGTCAGACATGTCCAGTTTTCCGCCCTTCTCTTTGACGGCCGGGTGTTTGCGCACGAGCAGCCAGCCCACGTGAGAGAAGAAAAAGCCACGCCGGGAATTGTGAGGGTCAGCGTGTGTTTCTGTGAACTTGTGGTGGGCACGGTGATCTCGGGCCCATTCATACACGTCATTCTGGAGGGACAGAAAAGGGGACACCAATATTGAGAAGAGAAGCCTTCCTGGGAGAATGCAAGAGCCTAGGTGTCTGCCAGGACCTGGAACTCTCAGTCCAACTCATTATCAGAGTCCCGAGCCTCTGATTACTAAGAAGGACGGGAGGAACACCCTCTCCAGCCGTTTACTCCCAGAGCTTATGTGGAAAAGCAGCTCAGGGGCCCAGAGCACAAGAATGGCACTGTTGCTTCTCGGGGGTGTGTGGTGGGAAACAGGAGGTGAGTCTTAGTGCTCAGACAGTTTCGCTGGCAGAGAACATGGTGACTCTTCAGACAAGCAACATGAGACAGGGTTCCTCTGGCAATGTCTGAGCCAGGGGCAGAGAGGTTAGGACGCAGATGTCCTTGGGCTCGAAGGTTCTGCTCTGTAGTAAAGGTGCAAAAACTCAGCTCCTTCACGAGTGGCATGTCACCCGACCCAAGAGGGCCAACATGTAACTGACAAGCCTGAGCCCATTTCTGAATGACCTTGGGACGTTTCTGGACTTCATCCATCTCTTCAAGTGTTGGGGACGCAGCCCCGCCGCCGCTCCTATTTCAACAGATGGCGCCCAGACTTGTGGCTAACTGAATCCACAAAAAGCCTGAGAAAGCTTGGGAAAGATTGGAGTGAAGCATGTTTGTTTTCTTGGTAGCAACAATTTCTAGAGTGCTAGAGGCAAGCAAGCACTCTCATCTAAGAGAGGCTTCCTGACTCAGCTTCAGCTGCAAAACCCTGCAGCTCATTAAGAGGTCCTGCCACAAAACACTTAAACTGTGTTGGTGAAAAGCTGAACGCATGCTTTTCAGTTTTCAGCCGTAGCAGGAAAAAAGCTGCGCTGTTCAAAAATGCCGGCTTTCTGGGCTGTCCTGCCACGGCAAACTCTGACTCTTTTACGCAGGCGGTTCGTGTGGTTTGCAAGCACAGGCTGCAGAAGCTCGCTTGCTGGCAGGGACCTTGAAATGCCATAGAGTTGTGGCAGTAAACGTGGCTACAACCGGTACCTCAGCCATGAGGCCGGAAAGCTAAGGAATGGACTGGATCTAGCTGGCAAAGCCACGGCTTTAATCCTACTCATATTGCTCAGTAATTTAAAGGCTCGTGTGGTCAGAAAAAGAGAGATATACAGTAAAGAGATTCAAAGATAAAGAAAATGTTTAAATGATTTACAGTGTGTTAAAAATATATGCAAGCTAAAAGTTAAAAGTTTTTAAAAAAAAAGTAAGAAAAAGAGAAGTTGTGTGTGGTAGTACACGCCTTTAATCCCAACACTTGGGAGGCAGAGGGAGATTGACCTCTGTGACTTCAAGGTGTGGTAGCACACGCCTTTAATCCCAGTGCCTAGAAGGCAGAGACAAACAGATCTCTGTGAGTTCAAGGTGTGGTAGCAAACACCTTTAATCCCAATGCCTGGGAGGCAGAGACAGGCGGATCTCTGAGAGTTCAAGGAGAGCCTGGTCTACAGAGTTATTCCAGGTCAAAGAGATACAGAGAATATAAAATAAAAGTAAAAATAAACGAAATAGAGGTTAAAATAAAGCGTACAAAGATGGAAAATACACAGAGAATCTTGATACTGTATACTATTATGCTCTCTTTGAATTGTTTGAATGCTGAGGAAGGAGCAACAGATGCTAAAAGATATTTGTTTATAAATGCTGCTGAACTAATCCATCGTAGAGATTTTGATGCCTTGACTTTGAAATTTGGATCTAAGGACATGATACTTTGGAAAGGAGTTTCTTATTTTGTTTTCACAGAGGATGAGACCCTGTTCATTTCTTCTATTCCGATATGGTATGATGGACCACGCCCTCCTGAACGGTTGCTGTGAATACCTTCAGAAAATTGCTTCGCTCAACTGCCAACTGAGATGAAACTAGCACACAGGTTATACCATGAAAGACCTAATTAACGACGCCCCCATTCAGCAGGAAGCAGTTTGGAGAGAAAAAACTACGCCCATGTTCCCAAATATTGTTTATAAATGTTCTTTTACATTTAAAGGGGGATATGATATAGATATGAATAATTTGCATTAGTATAGATTTTGCTTTATTGATAGAGATTTAAGGTCAATTTTGAATGTATATAGGTTGTTAATGAATAATCATTAATAGTAGTTAAGCTTGTAGTTATGTTAGTTAAGATTTTCTAGATGTGCATAGATATATTTTAGATAGGCATTCTTCATATCTTTCAAAGGCTAGAGAATATGGCATTTTAAATGTTTTAATAACTTAGGACTTTTCATGACAATGAGACACTCTGCTCCTGGCAGCACCAATCTACTTCAAGAGGAAGATGGGCATCGAAGAGGATCCTTATGGAGTTTGATAGCCATTTGGGCAAGAAACTGCTCTTGCCTGGACTATTGCATAAACTGGACACAGAGAACCCGCAGAGAGAGGACTGCTGAACTTGCCTAAAGGTGAGATGATCTTTCGGGGTTCCTGATTCATGAAAGAGTCTGCAAGACATTCTTCAGGACAAGCAGATAGTGACTGCCTTTGAAAGTTCCTGCTTTGTGGAAATGTCTGCTGGAAACTATGGGCCTCTAGGCTGAAGATGGATGCCCCAACGGTACAGAGGAACTTTGGGTGACTGTCCAGGCAGTGAGATGTCTCTGTCATTTCTAGAGTTTGAGAGTTTGCTTATTTCTTATTTGTTTAGGTAATATTGTATCTTTCTGGACTGTTTGATGGAGTTAAGAATAGTTAGCTATAGTTATAGTTTTTCTTAGTTATGATATAGATTATTGTAATTTTTACTTGATAACTGTTTTGTTATATGTAATTTTGCTATGTTAAGTTAAAGCCTTTTTTTTTTTGTTTAAACAGAAAAAGGGGAAGTGATGTGGGAGTGTCATATATCAATCTGTTGATTTCATTGGTTAAGTTATAATAAACCAACTGCTTGGCCTCAGCTTGGAACATAGATGGGAGGAGTAAACAGAATAGAATTCTGGGCGGAAGAGGAAGTGAGGTCAGACTCTGCTCTGCTTCCGGAGAGACCCGACAGCTCTGCTGGAGCACAGACGCCATGCTCAGCTCTCCCGGGTAGACGCGATAGCTCTGCTCTCTGAGGCACACGCGATGAAGATGGATGTAGGCTAGAATCTTCCCGGTAAGCGCACCTTGGGGTGCTTACAAACATCATTAGAAATGGGCTAGTCCAGGTGCGAGAATTAGCCTATAAGGGCTAGAGTATGGGCCAAGCAGTTCTTTAAATGAATACAGTTTGTGTGTTGTTATTTCGGGCATAAGCTAGCCAAGCGGCCGGGGTGTTGGGGACGCAGCCCCGCCGCCGCTCCTATTTCAACATTCAAGAATGTCAGTGTTTCTCTTCTTTCTCTTTGTCCTCCAAAGACAGAAACTGGGAGCCTTCGCCAAATACATTTTCAGAGCAGAGGTGATCACACACATGTATCAAGAACCTCAGATATCAGAGTCAAAATAACTAATCTCTTTTCTGAAACCTTTTCCTCAATCACCCAAGTCAAGTCCCACACTATTAGCAACAGCCTATGGCGAGGTGAGTCCGCTTCCCTAACTTCCTACCGTCTACCCACTAGAAACTTCTTGCAGGAGCCATCGTCAGTGCCTGACCTATATCCATCATGCTAGCCCTTGACAGGACAATCAGGTTCACTTATTTAATGGCGTGGTGACTCAATTTCCTTATCTGTTCAGTGGGTAGAACAATAAGGCCTACCTTCTGGCATGGTTGTGTGGACTAGAGGATTTAACCTGTGTCAAATGCTGGCACAGTGTCCAGCACATGGAACTACAGACATGTTTGCTCTTGCTATCTGAAACGAGAATGTTCTTGAGTCTGAGACACATCCCACCCCAACCCCGTTCTAGTAGCGTCCGAAGACAGAGAAAAGCATGAGCTTTTGTTGACTGTTGAGGAAACCATCGTTAGTTTCTTGATGATGGCGTTCTATGGTCCTTTACCCCGAAGGACCACAGCAGTCATCCAATGTGACAACCCAAGGAACTTGGGGTTAAAAGAAAAGTTATGCCTGGAGAACCCGTTCTACTTCCCTTCCCAGTGACTCTGAGGTGTCCCATGTTGTGGAGAGCTCTGCACTTGGGAGGACCACTGAAGGTAGTGGTCCTCTGTGGGTGCCAATGTCCTCCACTCTGCCCTGGATCAGCACAAGAGTGAACAGCACCAGCTTCTCACCTGGAAAGCCATGGTGTTGGCAATGATGAGGAAGACCCTCAGGGGCAGGCGTGCTTTGTAAGTTCGATGGCTCCACAGGCGATGGGCTCCAGCTCCAATGCCCGTAATACTGACCACATAGTAGATGTATGCTGCAGAGACAACAGAGGGGTAAGCCTGCTGGGAAGTGCGCAACCAGGAGAAGTGTATCAGGACACTCGCCTGATACCAGAGTGTGCTTCTCTGGGTTTGAAGGAGCGCATGCGTTGGTCTCTGAGACACCATAGCATCCCATCATCATCACCTCAAACCCCTTCACCTAGGACTCGGGGGTGGGGGGGGGGAACCTCTCCATGTAGGACTCGGGGGAAAACCACTCCACCTAGGACTCGGGGGGAAACCTCTCCACCTAGCAATAGATGTGAGCGAGAAGACCCAGGCACAAAGTGGGCAGAAAGGCAGGATGCTGGAAACACTGTCTAGCTTTCACCATCAGATCATAGGAGCATTTTTCCAGGTCCTGTGTCCTTTGAGCTGAAGATTTTTTTTCTTCAAGGGATTCAAGGGGTTCACTACTCCTCTTGACCTAAATACCCATAATCAAGCATCTTTGGAAAATGGCAGTCAGAGCTCAATGGAAGGACCATTAGTTGAAGGGGAGACACATAGGACACAGAACCTGTTCACCTGTTGAACTGCAGCATCTCAGCACTGTAGCAGGTCTCAGGGCAGGTCAGGCCTGCACAGCCACGTGGACACGAAGGCTCAGCTTTACCGATCCTTACCATTATTACGGTCAGTGCACATCCTAATGGCTTGGAGTCTACAATACCAAGTGTGAGGTGCCATGAAGACACCATGCTGAAGCAGCTGTGTCCTCAAGAGCAGACAGAGGCTGCAAGGGTTCTGTACTTGGGTACATCTTGTGGTCAGAGATGTCTCTTGAGCAAGTATGCAGAGGAAATTAAAAGCTCTAAGTATTTATCCAGGGCCACAGCGCTGGGAGAAGTGGATCCACAGTTTGAGGCTAGGTTTTCTACCAAGGCTCTGTTCCAGTTCCGGGCATATTATACATCCCCTAGTAACGTAACACAGCACCCCGACTTAGAACCTACAAAATGAGGGAGTACCTACCATCTAATGGGGAGAAGACACTGGGTGTACCGGTCTGCTCCTCTGATTGTAGCACCCGGACATGGGACTGAGTCCTTGTTAGAAGCAGTATAAGATACCTGAGGGACCTCTGCAAACCAGGGAACCTCAGGGGCTACAGAACTTAGCTGAGACTGGGGACACCAAACATTGCACGAACTGCCATGTGTCCTTCTGCATCAAGAGGTGACCATTTTCTAGGTGGTCTCTTTCTTCCTCTCTTCTGCCTACTGTGTCCCATTCTGTTCCTTCCATAGGACCCCCAGGACAACAGAGACAGCATCTGTCCTCAGGAAAGTGCTGGCCATATTCTTCTGAACTGGGATGAGGCCTCAGATTATCTCCAGCCTCTGGCTGTGTGGTGATTGAGATCTTCCCATAGAGAGGATCCGGCTGTACGTGTAGCAGAGAAAGCAGGAGAGGACGAGCCCAGAAATCCCAGGAGAAAAGGGAAGACTTTGGACAGAGCAGGGGGACCAAGAAAGTGTCCAAATTTGCCTCGTGCTTCAGATTGCCCAGGTTTGTTGGCTCCACAGACAGTGCCATCTTCACAGGGAAACGGGCGGGGTTCCTCATACCCCAAATCATGTCCTTATTCTGCCAATGGCTTAGGTCACAGAGATCCTTTCTCTGTCCCCAAGGAAAGAGATTGTAAGTGTCCACACCAGTGAACAGCTTTCCCCTCAGGGGAGGGTTGGGAAGGTTTTGTACTTTGGCTCCCAGTGTCGCCAGAGAGGCCTTACTCCAGAGGGCTCTACTGAATGGCTCTAAAATGAGAGAAAAACTTTTCCAAGTCCCCGAGCCAGGAAAATGGCACAAATACAGTCAGTTGTTAATTATGCATTTTCCTTTGGGATTAAACAATAAAAGCCTCTAAAACCTAAAGAAAGGAGAAGATTCCACCTGAGACTTCAATCCTTCTTGTTCCTGGAGAGTCTCACAGCTGCCATGCTGTGCACTAATCTACCAACCAGAGCCCGGGGACTAGAGTGAAATAATTTCCCTTGCAGGTTGGTGCGCCAAATTTCCTTTCCAAAATCATAGCACACACCAGAGGGCAGGGTCCCACGAGACAGTAACCACAGTCTTGGCTTTGGATGGTATCCTTTCCCTGAAGTAGCAACTGATGCCAGCCAAGATCAGGCAGTTCGGTCAAACGCTGGCCTGAACGGAACAAGGCTTGTGCAGAGTACTCAGGCTGGAGAGGGAGGAAGCTTGCAGGGAATCAAACTGCTTTGAGGACTTCCCTCACCCCCAGGCCTCCTGGTTCTAATAATGCATCATTGCCTCAGTAGGTAATTAGAAAACCCAGGATCCCAAGAGAGGGGGTTTCCTAAACTGTATTTCCTTGGGACATTAGATGAATTTCCCAAAACAATGCTTAAGGGCCCGAATCTCACCACCTACAAGTGGAAGAAGCCTGGGACAGACAGGGTAAAACCAGCTCTACTACAATACATTCCGGGGGGGGGGGGGAAGGGGAGGAAGAGAGAGTTGTCAAAGAGTCCCAAAACCTGACTCTGTTCCCCCAAACTTCCCCGTACTATCCGGGAAAGAAGGGCTGGCTCATCAGCCCTCAGAGAAAGCAAGGGGCCCCGAGTCTGCAGGACTCCTGGAGTCAGAGCTTGTGCAGACCAGAAGCCTTTTTTTTTTTTTTTTAAGATTTATTTATTTATTATGTATACAACATTCTGCCTCTGCCCGCATGCCAGAGGAGGGCGCCAGATGTCAGTACAGATGGTTGTGAGCCACCATGTGGTTGCTGGGAATTGAACTCAGGACTTCCGGAAGAGCGGCCAGTGCTCTTAACCTCTGAGCCATCTCTCCAGCCCCAGAAGCCTTCTTCAAGTCTCTAGTCTCTAGCATGCCTGTCCCTGCCCAGGAAGGATGGGTAGAGGGTAAAGACAGCTGGTATTAGCAGGTGTGAGCCCCATGGATGATATGGCTTCAGGAGAGAACTGAGCTTCACCACCTGGGTTGGTAAGGTCCCTTTTCTTCTGGCCCCTAGGTAGGGCCGGGCTCTCCTGTGGCAGGAAAGGCGGGACAGGCAGCCAAGTACTGATTCACACAGAAAAGCTTATTGGGGCTGGTTGCCTCATTGCCACAGTGGTACCCTTCAGTGAGTCCTGCACATGCTTTCAGGGCTTGGTCCCCAACACTCATGTTAAAGTACTCCCAGGGGCTAAGGATATGACACAGTGGTAGAGTACCTGTCTAGTATGCCCCATGTCCTGTGTTTAATAAAGAACAACAAATTACTCCAAGTTACTTTTGCCAGATATGGTAGCTCAGAATATAATTTCAGCAGGCTGAGACAGGAGGATTACTATGGGTTCAAGGCCAGCCTGGACTGCATAGAGAGTTTAAGGACAGCCTAGGTAACAGAGTGAGATTCTTAAAAATCAACCAAACAAAACAGTTATGGTAATGGACACTGTAGTGCCTGCACTTGGGAAGTGGACCCAGAAAATCAGAGACTCAAGGTCATTCATTGTCTGCTATGGAGCGAGTTCCCGGTCAGCCTGAACTGCATGAATGAGAACCTGTCTTGTTAAAGAGAGAGAAGAAAACAAAGCAGAGACTTTTGCTCCCCAATCCCACTAGGCTGCATTCAGTTAGTTCTATCAAGAACCACAGAGAAAAATTAGGGAAAGCTGGACCCAAAGGGGCCACGGCCCATCGCAAGACACCCTTCATTAGAGGTAGGGGAGAAACTTGAGGCACTGGCCCAGAACAAAGAAAGGTGCTTACCCCAGAGCAAAGTGTAGAACTTGCTGGAAGGAATCAGCACAAGCCCATACAGGGCCCCCAAGTGCAGCAGGGTCATGAGGATGATGTTTCTCCAAACGTACTGCAGCTTGGGCGGGGGCCCCTCCTCATCCTGGTAGCTGGGGTCGTATATATCCTCCTTCATTTCAGGGCGGATATCTTCTTCCAGGTAGAGGGGCACCGTCTTTAATTTCTCTCTTCCTTTCTGCATGGCTTCAGAGTGGGGTGACATGATGGTCGTGGTGGTTGTACACGAAGAATTCATCTACAAGGACAGGGAACGGAGAATTAGAAGGGCAGACTCCAGTAGGCACTCCCCTCGGGCATGCTGCTGGTAGAAGGGCGCATTAGTGGTCCAGCCCCCATCCCGGTATCTGGCTTGACTAGGGGCTGGTGGGAGAAAAGGTTTACAGAAAGTGTGTAGATTGGTTGTTGTCAAACCTCCAGGTGAAGGGGCAGTGGGAGAGGAGAAGGACTCTCTTATGCCACTGGCAAGCCAAAGAAAGCTCTAAGATCCTGAGAAAGGCACCAGCAGGACCCAATTAGCCTTTAAAGCTTGGGAGACAAGAATTGGGAAATCCAAAAATACCATTTACATCTTTAACCAATTGGTGGCAGTACAACCTTGAAAAGACAATAATGGAGGGGTGGGGAAGACTATCAGAGACTAGATCCATCAGGACAGAAGGTTAAGACTGAATTTGTATTCACCGTCTTTGCTCTGATTCTCAATTAAAACCCTGTCTAGAAGAAACCCAGGGAAGCAGTTTTTGCTCTGCCTTCTGAGTGTGGACTCTTCAAATAAGACATTATTTAACGATTTAATTCCTGGGTTTTATTTACACAAAGAGCCATGTGGTCTGATGACCAAAGGGTGACCCAGGTTGACTCTTTAGATTATCTCCTCTCTTGCCAGGGCAGTTTAATTTTCCCTCTTTAGACAGCTGGATTAGGGCGATTTGCTGGATTTTTCTGTCAAAATCTCTGAAATATGTCAGTTTCTGAAACAGATATAAACAGAATAGAAGTGGGAGCCAAGGTCAGAGTACATTAAATTTGTGTATGATAACCATGCCCAAGATTCATCTTCGTACACACAGCCTCTTGGTCTTAGTCGCTTTCCGTAGAGTGGCATGCGTGCCTGTTTTTGTTGCTGGCTTTGAAATGGGGTCCTGCAATGAAGTGCGGGCTGGCCTCAGACTCAGCCTCTAGCTGGAGTCTCCCAACTTCCCAGACTGCAGGCAAGCGCCACCATGATCAGCATAAATTCATTTTGATTCCGACAGCTTCCTCCCTGGTTTTTGAACAACTATCTCTGGAGACATCCTGACTAACTAGTGGTTTGGTTTTGGCCATCCCCTGTTTCCAGATCTGTCCTTGTTGGTTTGATCTGACCTCACTGGAGAGTGTTTGAGGTTTATAATGATGATGACGACAATGTCACTTTTATACAAACTAGAGGAAACTCAAGTGATAAAATCCTTCATCAGATTGTTTATCGGAATCTCTGTAAGGCATTTCCTTGATTAATGATTAATATGGGAAGGCTCAGCTTACTGGAGGGGCCCCAAGTTTTATAAGAAGCAGGCTGATCAAGTTTTATAAGGAGCAGTGTTCCTCCATGGTCTCTGCTTCAGTTCCTACCTTCAGGTTCCTGCCTTGACTTCCCTCAGTGATGGAATTTTGGTCTTTTTTTTTTCAATCATAGCAATAGAAAACCTAACACAGGGAGTGACAGATATTAAGGAATTAGTGTCTCCTAAGATGTAGTTATTTTGGAGACATTTCCATGGGCTGCCGAGAAGATCAAGTGTGTTGCATTGGTATAGCCTGTCTATTTGATTTATGTTTCTGTTTATTCTATTTTTCTGGATGACCTGTCTACTGGTGAGAGTGGGGCCTTGAAGTGACCCACGATTGCTACGTTGTGGTAACCCAGTGGTTTTTAGATCTAATAGGATTTCTTTTATAACATTGGGTGCTCCTGTGCTTGGTCTATGTATATATGCTTAGGGTTGTAATATCCTGTTGGTGGATTATTTATTTAATGAATATGAAATTCCCTCCTATTTCTACTGGCTAGTTTTGTTTTGAAATCTATTTCATCAGTATTAATAGCCATGTCTCCTTGTTTCTTAGTTCCATTTGCTTGGAATATCTTTTTCCATCCTTTTACACTAAAGTGCTAACTATCATTGATGGTGTGGTGTGGTTCTTGGAGGAAGCAAAAAGATAGATCCTGTTGCCGGGCGATGGTGGCGCTTGCCTTTAATCCCAGCACTTGGGAGGCGGAGGCAGGCGGATCTCTGTGAGTTCGAGACCAGCCTGGTCTACAGAGCTAGTTCCAGGACAGGCTCCAAAGCCACAGAGAAACCCTGTCTCAAAAAACCATAAAAAAAAAGATAGATCCTGTTTTTTTACTCCCATGTGCTATTTCTGTGTCTCTTGGAGAGTTGGGAACCATGAATATCAGGAACTATTGTTGAGCAACGTTTATTATTTCAACCAGAATGGCTAAGATAAAACCAAACAAAAAATGATGGCAAATGATGGCCGTGGAGCAGGGAAAGGAGGGCTCTTACTCATGGGAGTGCAAACTGGTGCAGCCAGTGCAGAAATCAGTATGGAAGTTCTGAAGCTAGAAACAGATACAACACACAGTCCAGCTATATCATCGTGACCATATGCCCCAAAGACTCTATGTCCTCCTACAGAGACTCATCCATGTTCTCTGCTGCTCTATTCAAAATAGCCTGAAAATCCAAAGAGTCTAGATGTCAACAGATGAGTGGATAATGAAAATGTAGTATATTTACACAATGGAGTATTATTTAGATGCTATGAAGAAGGGAATTATGAAATTTGCAGGTAAATGGGTGGAACTGGAAACAATAATTCTGAGTGAGGTGACCCAGATATCTAGATACAGAAGACAAATGTTGCATCTTCTTTCTTTCTTTCTTTCTTTCTTTCTTTCTTTCTTTCT